TCGGTGGTGTGATACTATACCAGGATAATGAATATATTGAACCCAGAGCTTCTTGCGTATGCTACTCTTACATGTGAAAAAAGCTCCCAACTTTCCAAAACTCATACTATGCCAAAGCACGACCAGTCAATCAACCCAGCCGCTGACCGCTACCCTCTCTCCCGTAATCATTGTGCGGCATTAATAACCAACAACTTGATTCTCCTGGCGGCCTTCCCGCCCGGGATACTAACCCATCGGGCGATGGGAGATCTAAAACATCAGCATGGGAGCGTTTACCAACCGGATGCAATCTCGATTACCAGTAGTGGAGAACTTCGGCTCAGAAGTTAAGCCCAACCTCGGTCAAAAATTCGCGAGGATTGTGCGGGTTGAAGCTAAGATTACCAAGTTAATCTACCTTCCCTTGTCACCTATTTTTTTTTTTGGAAGTGGAGATTTCGAAGATGATTAGTACTAAAGTTTGTGTGTAGAGGTGAGGCGGGAATGTGCTTTTACGGTGGCTTCTGGTGAAGGTATATTCGAGTTCCGGCATGGCATCTTGTGAGTGGGTTCTGGGGTTGTTAGTGAAACGTTGGATTATCCAGCGGGGAAAGGTGCGGTTTTTTGCATGAAGGGATATGGTGTCTGTGGTAATTATTGGTCTTTTCTACTCGCGCGGCCGAGTTGAAGTTGGACATTTACATAGCGTAGTGATTGCCGGGCTTTGGGTGGATGTCTCCGAAGTAACAAGCTACCGGTGTGCGATGTATGATAATTTCATATAGTGGGAAGTAAGTGGTAGCATACGGGGTCAAACAAGTACTTGTGAGGATTTGGAAAGATCCTCAGTCTACGATCGATCAAAAGCGTCAAACATTTCATGAGAAGCTTCAAAGGGTGATATTTCATGATGGAGATAATAATTTCAATGGCTACATTCCACGTTATATGGGTATACGATGGTTTCCAGGTCATGCACAGCACAGAAAGAAAATTATGTGAAGCTGCCGTTTTTGTATCGTATATGATTATTAATTGTCTTGCTTTACTCGTACATGGGCTCGTTATTGGTCTGGCGATGACTGCCCTCCGGGGTAGCCAACTCCGATTCGGTTGTGAGTTCGATAGAATCTTGAGGGACCTGAAATATCGATATTAGCGCGCATTCCACCGGGTAATGTTTAGAAACCAATTCAACACCCCAAATATTCTCAGAAAAGCCAGTTTACTCCCCCCCAAACCCCATCGCCACCATCACATCCGAGCCTCCCAATAACTGAAAGACCCATCCGCTTCGGTATTGACATGAGCCCTCTTGGATCCCACCCCTGCATATCCTCTCACCGGCCGTCCTCCTCATCCCGATCTGCCTTGAGTGGGACCCCCGTCGCAGCCGCAGCAGGAGGATGAGTCAAGCTAGATAAGGGAAAACAGGGGGGGAAGAGGGCGGGCTGGATAACTAGTTGAATGGATTGACTGTTGTCATCATAGCATAGGGTATCGATTGGCTGCAAGGGGGAAAAGGTGTATTTACCGAGAGCCTGCGACATCTTATGTAAGTTATGTTCAATGACAAGAAAGCAGGTGGTAGATGTGATAAGATGGGCAGAAGGCGTGTTCAGAAAAGTTTTGGTAATTTTAAGTTCTCCTCAATAAAGTTCAGAAGCAGAACTGTATTTTTTTTGGTTCATCATGAAACAGCGGGGGGTAATGAAGGAGAGAGGATGACGGACTTACAATTCAATTTTTCTGGTGAGTACGCTGATGGGGTCTATTTTATTGACTGGGGAGCCAAGTCAGCAAATTGGCCTCCGTATTCTGTGGGAAATAGCTATATGGACGAAATAAAGGACAGATCAGATGGTAGTGCATGTTTGTTAATGGATCATGAAATTTCTCCGAAACAAATGTGATAAAATTTCCTCATGACAGGGGGGGAAGGGATGAAGGACGCACGGGGTAGATGGGAGACATACGTTAGTAGAACGCCATGTGGTGGAATTGGGGGTCGAGGGAAGTGTTATGGATGAAAATGGAAGAAGGTGAATGGTAGATGTCAGGGAGAAGTTTGATGGAGGAAAAACCGAGAGGGGATGATATGTCTTGGCAACACTGACTGGGTGTGAGGGTTAAGCCCTATGAGTATGATCCAGCAGTGGTTTGTTGAGCCTCAATCCGAGGCATCCAGGTCTTGGGGTACCCTACGGGAAAAGCAACGGGGCAAGTTGCCAATATCGGCGCATAAGTTTAAGAAGGGCAGAAGTTAGGGTATTCTTCCAGCTCTGACCGAGGTTCATGGGCTTACTGGCTTTCCGTCGAGACGGGGTATTTCTTAACTTCAGAAAAGACCCACTACCGGTGCACTAGCTAGCGGACGTTGGTTTCTTTTGAAGGTCATTCATCTAATCTCTATTTTACTGGAATTGAGTATATCATGTTCCACGCTCACGGCGACCTCAATGCTTCTGCAAATCTACGACGTGGAGCTCTAGTAAATAAAACGAGGACGGTATCGCCTCAATCTTTCACTTCTATTCAAAGACCTTGGAAGGTACTGTACTGTACCCGATCCGGGGCTCTTGTTTTTCTTTTGAGACCCATCTTGGCTGTGAGGAGCAGAAATGTGACCGTGCTGCCCATATGTCTATTTAGACTAACCTTAACCTCAACTAAATCTATTTCTTGGCTAATAGCTTGTTGAACGTCTACCGGATCCGCCGTTGACTTGGGAGCCACTTTCAACCTGAAATTGTGTTGGGACTTTGATTTCATGCCGTCATTGGGATGACGGGAAGAATGTGAGGCCTCCTTTGAACAATTGCTCGAAAATTGATATAATGTGCTGCTATTACGGTCTGAATGTTGTGGGTTGAATGATTATTATCGGTTGGGATGAACTCAATGTTAAGAGAGGTAGAAAGAGGGGTAGACTAAAGTCATTAATGAGGTGGGAATGTAAATTTCTGTAGGTTTTGGAGAGTCTCAGCTTGTCCTTCTGTTTGTTCTTGATGCCCCAGTAATATCAGATTGGCTCCGCCATCGATTTTTTTTTCATTCTCTTCTTGTTTAGCAGATTTTTTGAGTCTACTCCTCTTGTCTCCTCACGCCGGGCCGGCTGACAAGAGTTATCCAAATCATGATACATTTATATTGCAAGAACAAGGAGACAGAATCGTCCAACTCCGGGAATTTGGTACGAGAATAAGCACCCTTGGTGCTTTGAATTACCCCCCCCCCTCATGTGGGCCACGGGGGGTGGGAGTTCAAATCAGTCAGGACAGGATTGGCTCTGGTAGCGGGATTTTAGCAAGATAGCATTGACGAGTGACCAACCTACAATTTCCAACCACGCCTGTTGCACGTGGGGTAAAAAAGCTTCGCAAATACCCCACCATGTGAGTGGATGGTAGTAGTGCCGGATAATTTTAACCATGCCGAAAACAAGCTTGCTTGCAGCTTCTCTATGTCTCGATTCGATCAAATTTATTATCCTGATACTTAAAGAAGATCTTGGATTGGCTGGAATGGTACCGTAAAAGGCTTCAGCTTGCGTAGCCGATGTTGCATTATAAATGGTAAGTGTTATAGTACTCAGTCTTAGAGGGGTTATCAAATGATCAGGTCGGAACTTTTCGATAAGTTGCGCAGTACTAGTACAGTACATAATAAACCTAGCGTGGGCTCCTCGAGGAAGCTGGAAACGATTCGCACTTTTTGTATGACAGTTGGTCCGAGATCTTCAGCCCAATAGCACCTAGTCTGGCTATTGGGAGGCCCTCCAGGTGGCTTTCTTTTCTATTTTTGACCAAGTTTGTCCTTTTTTTGTTTTTCTCTCTGCCAGGCTTACTCGAGGACTCGAGTACTGTACTCGTATCTACTGTACGGGTCCCCGGCATAGAACCCGAACATGGGGGTATGGCGAATTGTCTGCGCATCTGGGGGCCGTACTCGTACTAAATTCAGGCTCAAATGCTCGGGTTCTTTATGCTGGGGACCTGTACTTGTACTCGTACGGTACTCGAGTACGAGTACAGTACAGTAGCAGTCAGGGCGGAGGGGAGAACGAGATTTGACAACTCCGGGAACTGCGGCAAGCAGATGGTTGGATTGTGCTTATGTTTCAGCCCTAAATGTTTTTCTTTTATTTTAATTATGACTTAGGATTGGTAACATCTCTGCCTTTGTTAGTCCTACTAGAACTTTTGCACTTATGGCTATCTCTTGTGATATTAGTATGAGGATTGGGTTGAGAGTTTTGTAGAGAGTTCTCACATGGTGTCGTACTTGTACTGTACATAACATGCGAGCACGTCGATCTTAGTAGCGGTGCTCTAATTTCGGTGTCTCTGTAAGTTAATTTGTATTTGGTTGATCGACAGATTGAGTACTGTACTCGTAGATCTCGGGCATGATTTGCTCTACTTGTAATGTTTCGACACTAATCATAGTTCAATGTCGCATTCGGTCAACATACGCGCACCGGGATTCCTCTTGCGCTGCCGTCCTCAATCGGCTTCCCCTCTTTTTCCTGCACCGCCATCCCTTTGTTTTGTGGTACGTGCGGGTCATTTTGTGGGTACCGGTGCTCGAGCAACACAAGAGGTGCTGTTGAAAGCTGTGGAACCATTAATGTCTCACCTTTGTTTTCCGCTCGAATACCAGTGGACCTCTATCCTACTGGGAGGCTGCGTCAACCTTGAACTTCAAGCCCCCAGTGAACTCGCACGGAAAATAATAGAGTGCTGCTCATACTTTCCACACACCAACCCGCTTGTTGGCGTCTGACAGTATCACCACTCCACCTTCGAAATTTCTTCAGCTACGGAGAGTACCGAATGCAGATATGCCGATATTCCAGCTGAACATACGTATCTTGCTGCCCATTAGGGCTTAACCCACAGGGGGTCGTCTTTTCGGAGGTTAGACTGGTTAAGTTGCCCCACAACACATAGAGTATCATACTCCCCCACTATCAATTACTGGTGCTGGCAGCATGTCCTGTGCGGTGTGTAGGGGATGGATGGGGGGAGGGGAGAAGAAAAATAAAAACATTTTTTGTATCCTTTAAAAAGCCTCTCTTTAGACCGGCTAGAATAGGGATAAACTCCAAAATTCTGAATTACCCTTCGGAAATGGAACTACTCAAATTTCTACTTCATATCCTTCAGTCCTTTGGCCTTCTGGGGCGTGGGGGTAATGATCTCAACCAGGAGATACTGGATGCTGGCGGCCTCCTTCCTGACCTGTCTGGGGTTGCGGGAGCAAACGCACTGATTCCTTCCACCGGCTTCAAGTGTCCAAATTATAGCCCTCGGGGAATCAAGGAGGACCTAATATCTTGCAATACTCCTGACAATCGGTCGTGCTGGTTTAAGCCAAATAAGTGGTGGGCCCCAAGGGGTTACGATATCAATACGGATTATGAGTTTAGTTGGCCGGATGGGACGCATAGAGAGGTATTCAATCTATCTTTCTTTTCTTTTGGCGTGGTAGGCAATGGAAATTGATTAAACCTGATTTAGTATTGGCTTGAGGTCACTGATGGCAAGACTGCACCTGACGGATATGTTAAAACCAAGGCGAAGCTAGTGAATGGGACATACCCAGGACCACTCATCGAGGCGTGTTGGGGCGATCAACTTAGTAAGTTGGCCCCCTATTATCTGGATGATAAGATTTCTGGGCGGAATTATGACTAAGTGAAATATAGCTATCCATGTTACCAATAAGATGAGGGATAACGGCACCACTATCCATTGGCATGGCTTCCGGCAGTGGAACACCAGTGAAGCTGATGGTGTGAATGCATGTGGTACCCCATGAACAACTATATACTCTCTGGTGGCTAACTGAAAATCACAGGGAATCACTCAATGCCCAATTGCCGTAAGTTTGCCTGAAGCCCGTGTTATGGTGGCATAGTACTTAAGACTCAAAACTCTCGTAGCCGGAACACACCTACACATACAAATTCCGTGCAACGGAGTATGGGCACACATGGTATCATAGGTAAGGCTAAAATCAGGCTTTCATCCGAAAGGTCAAGTTCGTTCTAATGGCCTTAGCCATTACTCCCTGCAATATCCCGATGGAGTTCTCGGTAAGCGATTGCTTCGCCCTACTCTGATATCCTATTCTGACATAGATTGACCCAGGACCAATGATCATTCACGGTCCTCAAAGCGCAAACTACGATGTCGATGTCGGCACTGTCCTCGTCAGCGACTGGTCGCATGAGACAGCGTTTATTGACTTCTTCGGAGAGCTCACAGGCAACCCCCCGCCAATGCAAAGCAATCTGCTTCAAGGCAGGGGTGTGTGCATATCATACCGAAACGCGCCTAATATAACAGGCTGACTCTCCATAGGCCGATTCCCTTGTTTCCAAGGAGACCCCAGATGTGTTGGGCCTCCTGGCAATTACTACGAGCTTAATTTTGAAAAAGGGAAGAAGTACCTATTGAGATTGATCAATACATCCACTGCGTCGCAATTCAAGTTCTCAATTGATAACCATATCCTCACGGTTGTTTCTGCGGACTTTGTGCCTATACACCCTTATCAGACAAAGTATTTGAACATCGGTATCGGTGAGTATCGCCTATCCGTTGGCCACCAGTTACGGCAATGCCGAATAAATAGAAGCTCACTTCGCCTCTTAGGCCAAAGATACAGCGTAATTGTTGAAGCGAACCCCTCTGGCCCAGATGTATCTGTAAACAGGGACTACTGGATTCGAACAAGTGACCTCCCTCTTCTCTTCACTGATATACATAGCTAACAACCCTCAAGTCCCTGCAGCGGGTTGTAATAACATCCAATTCCCCGTCAAGCAAACTGGCATAATTAGATACTTCTCTAACTCCACATACACCCTCCCTGTATCCAGCTTCTGGGTAACACAAAAAGGTCAAACGACGGAGCCTGATGACTGCGACGACGAGGACATGAAAAATCTCGTACCCGTCGTGCCAAAGAGTTTGGTCCCCGGGGATTATGCAAATAACTATTCCTCCGATACCTATGAAGTTGGCCTGACAGAGCCGACAATCGAGAATCCCATGCCCCATGGTAACTATAGCCGATGGGATATTGCCACGCTTCCTATGTAAGTTCTTGTTTTAGCTAGCTGGCGGTAGTCGCTCGTTCGTTAGGAAACAGGGGCTGACTTGCGTGATGTTACTCACTCAGGTGGCTCGAATGGGGAAACCCAACCATATTGAATCTTGATAAGAATGTTAGCAATATGAGTCAAGAATTGTCGATTGTCCCCGAGGATTATCAGAATAGGGTATGTTTACTACGTCTCTCCTCGAGGGGTTTTTTTTTTCTCCTTTAAAGAGTTTCTCAAACCGCTGACAATGTTTTTTTTATTAATAGTGGGTTGTTCTAGTGGTTGTCGGTAGGTTTGGGGTGCCCATATTTGATCATATTATTAGCTTCCGAGATGCTAATAGATCCTAGGCAATTTGACGCTCCCGTCCGGACATAGCGCTGGAAAGCAGTCTATCCCTACCAGGCACCCTATCCACGTCAGTCCTATCCCCAAACTCTTCCACCCCCCGATCAACTAAGAACATGTGATATGCCAATAGCTTCACGGCCATGACTTCATCCTCTTGGCCCAAAATGATACACAATGGGACGCCAGCGACTGGACCGCTGCCGACGCCTTCAACAACATGAACTACAATAACCCCCCTCGCCGTGACGTCGCCCTTCTGCCAAGGAATGGGTATATCGTTATAGCCTTCAAAACCGATAATCCGGGACCATGGGTTAGTTTCATAACATGCCCTCCCACATACCCATAATGACATGACTGACGATTTTTACTATTCCCCAGCTTATACATTGCCACATCGCCTGGCATGCTAGCAGTGGCCTCGCAATGCAGATCATGGAAGATCAGGAGAACATCGAACGGACGATTAGGGACAAGAGGGCTATCCAGGAGACTTGCGATGCGTGGAATACATGGAACGCTACTAGGAATGTGGAACAGGATGATTCTGGGGTCTGAAGGGTATGGTTTCCTATAGATTGGAGGTTTTCTCCTTTGTTTTTTTTTTAATTTTTTTTTATGGAATGAAGATACGATCTTTCTTGTGTTTTTGGTTTTGGGTGTCCGGCGCAATCGTGTGACTACTCCCGATTTCTTGCATAGAATTCCGAGCTTGGACTCTGGATAGGGGGTTTTATTCGTATGCTAGAGGTCCTTATCACCAAAAATCACTCGAAGCCACTGGACCGAGATCTCGGTATACAGTAAACTTACCGGTAATGTTGAGCCCGATATTCGTGACGCATGGCTTTGAAGTTGGCAATACCTCAGACTGGGTTACCACAAGTCAGGAATATTAGCACTCCTATGTATCACAGCGGCACCCGTCCAAATCCCGTCCCACCCCCAACCAAACCCTCCTCCACCGCCGACTTTCCAGCTACGATATGATTATCCCTTCACACTCAAAGCAATCTCGTCGCTACCAGTCAGCGATAAACGCCTATATTCCCTTCTCTCTCTCGGGAATTCACCAACTCCAGTGGATAGTAAGTTAAGCTAAACCCTTATTCCCAGCCCCCGGCGAAAGAAAGCAAGAAAGGGGAGAAACACCGATGTTCCTTTCCCACGACCGTATTCCATAAATAAATGTCTGGCGCGGTACGCTGATTAAGGCGTTCAAGAATCAATTTGTCCCTGGGCAATTGTTGGAAGATCAGCCCGAAGTTCAAGTTTGGTTCCCCCCATCCTGTGGAGTATGGTATTATTGATAGGGAAGCAAAAAGAAATCATACCCTATGGGAACCAGAAGATTGGAAGATGTGACTTGCCCTTCCTTGGCACTGTAGGGGTGTAGGATAGGTCTGTCGCGTTGCCGGGTGTCATCATGGAACCGGAGGGCGTGTCGGGGGGACGGCGCCTATAGCGGCTAGGTATGTACGGACGGTTCTGGGCGGACTATGATAGACAAAAGTGGATTTTTTTATCGCACCATACGTACGATACGATATCATATTATCGTATATATCATGCTAATAGGGGTGGATTGATGCCTCTCCTTGTGTATCATAGATGTTTGGGTGAATTTGACTCAGGGTATGAGTGCCTGGTTCGGGAGTATGAGCAGGCTTGGGATGAGCCAATTGACGGGCGAATGTGTGATACAGTCATGATCAATAAGTCTGTACACCAACCCCACTCCAGCCCACTTAATTTAACATGCAACGCATTTTTACACCACTCCCTCCTGACCCCCATACTTTTTTTTCTTCTTCACAACACCATCAAAAAATGCCTTCTTCACGAGTTTTTGGTACAGTTATAAGCAGAGATCGGCAAACTCCCCAGCAACGGCGGAAAGAATTGAATTCTCACGACAGGGCTCGTATTTTCGAGGCAATAAGTTTGGGTTTGAGTCCATCCGCTGTCGCGTTGGAATTTCGGTGTACTCGGCAGACAATCTACCGGACTGTGAAACGGGCGCAGGAACTCAACCACTTTGGTTCTAGGCCTCGGAAGGGTTGTCCCAAGAAGCTGAATCGTCAAATTATTCGCTCTTTACTTCGTCTTGTCAGAAGTTTCCCAAATATATACTTTTGCGACCTCATTGACGAGAGTGGTGCTAATGTATGCATCAACACCATCCGTCGTGCTCTTGGGCCCAATTTACGCCGCAAATAAAGATGGTGTAAAAGAATTCGACTGCAGGCGAAAGATGTGAAGGAAAGGCTACGTATTGCACGTAACTATCGTGAAAAAGACCAAGAATTGTTGAAGGTGCGGACAGGTGTCAGTTCCTTCTTAGATGATCCTCGCTAAGGTTTTTTCTAGGGCATCTACAGTGACGAATCTTCCGTGCAAAACTCCCCCAATTCTCCCGATGGATGGGTTTTTCGACTTCCAAGTGATAAATGGAAGCAATGGGCTGTCAACGAGAGTGAACATGTTAAGTCTTCACTCTCGTTTATGGTTTGGGGGACCATCTGGAAGGGGGGGCGGTCAGAATTGCAGGTCATGCAACGTGATGAGGACTCTGCAAAGAATGGATATAGCGCGCGCTCCTATATTCAGGTCTTGGAGGATAGTTTATTGCCTCATTATGCTCCTGGGAAATTCTTTTTGCAAGATAACGTGAAAATTCACACTGCAAAGATCACTAAGGAGTGGTTTGAATTGCATGGCATCTGGGTCCCCGAACACCCTCCACATAGTCCGGATTTAAACCCGATTGAGCATGTCTGGAAAGCCATAAAGAGTATTCTTCGAAAGAATCATGGATACTTGAAAGACCTCAAAGATAACGCACCAAGTAGAGTAATTTTCATCACGGCGCTGAAGGCGGCATGGTGGGCAGTCCCTGAAGAGTTGATCGACCACTTGATCAATTCAATGCCCAGGCGCTACTACGCAGTGCGAAAAAATCGGGGATGGTACACCAAGTATTAAACACCATGGAAATGGCTCTCTATCTGTATTTTCATTGTATTTTTAGGTTCAGTTTTGGTTGTATAATTGATTGATTTACGTTGCGGTTGAAATATGTGGTGAAGGTGTGTGGGTGTGTGTGTGTACAGACTTATTGACTATAACTTTATCATACAACATAAAAGACACGAGCACAAGTAGCCAGTGATGGGAATTCAGAAAGCCAAGTGAGATACGGAAAAAGAAGAAAAAAGAAGGGAACCCAATCCATAATCATCACCCATAAATAACTTTTGCCGAAGAAAAGGCCTGTATAGCTGACTTTCCCACCTCACTGTTAACCCCGCCACCTACTCCCTAAATTCCACAGAACCTCTCGGGAAAACCCTCTTGTAAAGGCCTACCACCACATTAGCTCCAGATTCCACCACCGCCACCACCACCGAGGGCAAGAGGAAACTTACTTATAGCAACAGCATCCTGCGGATTAATCCTCCCGTCAAAAGTAGCCTTAAAATACCCATGCGTTCCCAGACTTTCCTTGATAAATCCACTCCTCCCGCGCTTCGTGAACAGCGGCAGCGCTTTAAACCACGCCACATCCTCCGCGTTGAAGAACATGTATCGCACCGTCACCAACTTTTTGTGGATCTTGAAGGGGTGGCCGGTAAGAACTATGCGTTTCGCTATTATGCGACTTTGGTCTGCTGATAGGAAGCTGCCTGTTCCTACTAGGTTCCAGGCCTCGGAGGGCTCAGAGCGTTGGAAGTAGATAGCTGGAGCGTTGCCCCAGAGCAGGGGACCGACGAATGTTGCGATTGAAGTTCTGCCGGGGATTAGGAAGCGTTCGAACTTCGTCACGTTGTTTCTTCCTGCGGCGTTGGATTGGCTGTAGAGTGGGGATGTGAGGAGGCGGCAGGGGCCGACTTGCACCAAAAGTTGGTCTTTGGATTTTACGGGGGTGAGGAGGTCTGAAGAGGGAGTTATGGAGAGGTTTACAACGGCTTGTTTGTGTTCGTGTCTTAGGAGGGAGAATATTGTTAGTGGCTTGTTGGTGGGGGCAGGGGAGTCGGCGAGGTTCGTGGGGCCGTTTCGGATGTAGATTTGGACTTTTGTGCCCGCTGAGACGCCACCTACGAGGGCTTCACGGGTGAGCTTGTTTTTGGCGGATTTGTAGTCTGTGATTTTCGCCAGGCGGTCCCAGTCTGTGGGCTGGAAGGGGTGGTCTTCCTCTATTTCCCAGGGAGATGTGCGGAGGGACTTTAATCCTCTATATCGGCTGAGACGCTCGCGGACAAGCACGTTTGGATGAAGCTCTATCTCGTCAGGGAATTCCCGATCTTCGGCTAACTCGGTCGCCCGGGACTTGCGGAATTCCGCAATTTGCTGGAGTTCTTGCTCCGGCGCAGGGTCCAGGAACATCTCGGACTCAGCGCCGTCACCGAACCCGGTGCCGGCTTCAGTCATCGCCCGTGGCGCAAAACCTTCCTCGCCGTCTTCGGGCCGGACGGGGGGCTCATCAAAGGTCACATTCATGACTTCATTGTTGTCTTCTACCCCAGAGTCTTCGCTGTCAATGTCGTCGTCTAGTATCCAGGCAGCTTGGTAGGCAGATGTTCCCTTGGGGAGTTTTCTTGGACACCCTGGGGTGGCGGTGACGGGTTCGTCGATTTCGTCATCGAAATAATGGTGGTCATCTAGGAGGACTCCCTTTCGGGATGTGGCGGTCATTGATGTAGGGGCTTCGGATATTGTGTCTGGGATGTCGGTGTCTGACATGTGGGTCTCTTCTGGAGCAAGGTCTGCCAGGTCGTCTTGCGATGCTGTGGGAGCGTCAAGGACTTTGGGGCTTGGCGTGTCGGTGTCTATGGCCATTGCGTCTACGGATTCTGGAGAATCAAGGTATTCACAGATCTAGAATGGGTGGTTAGTTGCCTGTTTATGGAAGAATTTGCGGAGCTGTTCCAACCTTTTCAATCTGGAAATCCCCGTGTCCGGGAATGTGTACTAGTCTGTCTGCTTTCAGGCCTTTCCCGCGGACCACACCACCGATTACGAGACCTTCTTCCTCGCTCCATCGCACATCATCGGCAAGCAGATAACTTCTTGTATCTCTCCAATGAACACCTTTTGGAGTTGACGTGCAAAGTGTGCGGATGATGTTCGATGACTCCTGTTCAGACTCGAGGGCGTAAATTTTGTTTGAGGTAGGGAAGAAATGTGAAATATAGCTAAGGAGAGATTTCTTGACATCTGGTCGCCGTTTAACCGGTTCGGTGGTTTCGAGATGCTGGAATTATTAATGCAAGTTCAGCCTTTTAGAGTGTCGAGCTATTACCTGAGCCACTGGGATGGTGTTTGAGATTCCCTGCCCTTCAATACTGCGTAAAAGGAGTTCCCCATGCTCGTCGACCTCTTGCTTGGCGGAAAGTACTAATACTACGAAGTCGGCCACCTTACAAGCGTCTAGTACGGATAACAAATCCCGCTTCACCACAATCCATTGTATCTTCTGCTTGAACCTCTCAATTCTAACTTCGTTAGCCTGAGTGATTTATCCCATTGCCTAGGGGGCACACATACCTAGTCGTAATCGCCCCAACTTCTGGAATATCACCTTCCACCTCCTTCAATTGCTTAATCGCAGCTTGCGCATCCCCATCCTCACACAATGGCACCACAGCAACAATTCTTGGAGCACCATTCCGCCCATCAAATATTTTGGTCTCACGGATAAGATCCTTGTGCTTGTTTTGCGCTATTTGGCGATTTTTATTTCGGCGATCCATTTTCGACATCATATGCTGGTGGGGACTTCTCCGGTTGAAGGTATCTGGCTCATCGACCTTGCCTGTACATAAATTTAGCTTGGTTTACCTGTAATCTATACGGCCACAGACAAACCACCTCTACTCTTAGTTTTCAGAGAAGATTTTGTCGCATGTCGACTCTTGAATGATTTGTGAGATTGTTTCGTAGTGGACCTGTGACGATGCACAACGGAGGCGCTCATATTGTGATTTATAGCTGAGTAGAAAATTCTCTAGGACGGTGATCTCTCCGTTTCAATAATCGCCCTTTAACGGTTTTCGTAGTTGGGCTTTTGAGTCGATGCCGTTCCAGCAACAGGTGGTTGTATGCAATTGTGGGGAAATGCTCAGCAGTCCCACTTTTCTTGGTTGAATTTTTTTTGTATATCCTATTGTATGGAGGAAGAAAAGAGTTACCCGGCCAATTACCGCAAGTAGAAATTTTGAGGTCTTGGCGGGATCTACACTAAATTATTTCCCTGAAATTTCACCTTCGGGCCTTTTCCTTTACTCTATGAACAATGCCGGAGTCCCAACTCAAACGCCTAAAGGCATCGCTCCGAACTGCGGGCATAACCGGCCAGCAGAAATCAAAGAAAGCAGCCAAGAAACAGAGGAAATCGACTATTAAACACGACTCTAGACTTGATCGACATGCTACGTTACAGACAATTCGAGAGGAGTTCAATCCTTTCGAAATTAAGACGACCCGGGAGAAACATGCGGTGATTGGGAGGGGCAAAGCTAAGGGCGCGCAAGGGCGACCAAGTTTGAGCAAGCAGATTGGAGAGGAAAATGTGCGTTCTGTGAGTTATCTCGGGAGTGCTAGGTGACTAACGTAATTGTGTACAGAGAAAACGGACATTGTTGGTCGAAATGCAGAAGAGGAATAAAGCCGGTGGGATTTTGGATAGACGCTTCGGGGAGAACGACCCTACAATAACACCGGAAGAGAAAATGCTCCAGCGATTCACCAAAGAAAAGCAGGTGCGTTACTGAAAGGTGTTTACGGTGTTCGCTAACTCGCTATGTGCCTGGACAGAAACGAGTCCGCGGCGGCGATATATTCAACCTTGACGATGACGACGAGCTGACTCATTTCGGCCAATCCCTCGGCGGTCTTACAGATGATTTTGACGCTCAGAACGACTTGATGCTCTCGGATGATGAGCCCACCCGAAAACGACCGTTAGATACGGAAGGTTTAGGGGATGAGGATGCCTCGCCCGGGCGCAAAAAGAGTAAAACTGAGGTCATGAAAGAAGTGATTGCAAAATCAAAACTTCACAAATATGAGCGTCAAAAAGCAAAAGAGGACGACGAGGAGGAACGTGAGAAATTGGATGCGCAGATGAATGACATCTGGGCACTTTTGGGGGCTAAAAAACCGTCTGCTACTGGTCCGGCTACAGGGGCTAATAATGAGCCTGTGCCCGGGCGGGAAGAGGTCAAGGCGAAGTCTGAGGCAGACCCTAGCATCAACCCAGGGAGGTTGGCGAGGATGGAGGGGAGAGAATATGATTATGATGTGGCTGTCCGGGAAATGGCCTTCGACAAGCGCTCGAAGCCAAGCGAGAGAACTAAAACTGAGGAGGAAAAACTACAGGAGGAGAGCGAGAGATTGAGGAAGCTCGAGGAGGTCCGCCAAAAGAGGATGAGAGGAGAAGAAGACAGTGGGGATGAGAAAGAAGCCCTGGGTGGGGATGATGTAGATTTGGGGGATGCGGCCGAATACGGGCTAGGAGCTGGTGTCCCTATGGCGCCCGTTGGGGGAAACTTCAATCCCGATGAATTGGTCGACGGCGATTATGAAGCTTCGGAAGATGGGTATATTGATGTTGACGAAAACGGAGAAGCTAATGCCTCTGATACAGAGCAGTTAGACGACTATAACTCTGATTATAGTGGTGTAGGTGGTTCTGATGATGAACCCGAGGAGGGTGAAGATGATGATTTCCTTGAAACCCTCGGGAGCCAATCGGGAAGAGTGGGGACGGGACCTGGCGTCTTCGATCTTTCAAAGGTGGATGGCAAGTACAACAAGCTTGCATTTACCTTCCCCTGCCCGCAAACGCATGGGGAGTTTCTAGAGATTGTCGGGGATATCCCAATAGATGATCTTCCAACTGTTGTTCAGAGAATCAGAGTCCTATACCATCCCAAACTTGATGCTGAGAACAAGCACAAGCTTGCTGTAGGAAATCCCTTACGACCAGACTGTTGTATATAACTGACAGATATCTAGCGGTTCTCTGAAATTCTCCTTCAACACATACTCCTAGTTGCTAATAAAGCTCCATCCGCACCGCCCTTCAAGCCCTTAGAAACTCTAATCCGCCATCTCCATGCTCTAGCAAAATCCTATCCAGATACTGTGTCACGAGCCTTCCGCGAACACCTAAATATCATACATGAACAGCGCTCTACGGGAGACTTGAAAGCCGGGGACTTGATCCTCTTCACCGCGATTAGCACAATATTTCCTACAAGTGACCACTTTCACCAAGTCGTCACTCCAGCAATGATTGTAATCTGCCAATGGCTCGGGCAAGTATCCCCCAACTCACTGTCAAGACTGGGAGTGGGGACATATCTGGTAACGATGTGCGTCCAATACCAACGTCTATCGAAACGATATGTCCCCGAGGCTACCCATTTCGTCCTCCGCGCACTTTCACTCCTCGCGCCCGTGAGGCAGGAGAAGCTATCAGGCACTTTTCCGTATGAGGAGCCGGAAGTGTCACTACGGATACAAAAGCCCCCGCCGAGGGAAACCGTGGAAGCACGCAAAATGAATTTCGCAGACATCTTCGGTGCGGAGGAGAGCGGAGCGGATAGGCGCGATATTCAACTATCGCTTTTGGCAACGTTGGCAAGTTTACTAGAAAGCATGGCAGGCCTTTGGGTGGGTAAAACTGCCTTCACAATGATTTTCGAGCCAGCCTTGGAAATCATAGAACACCTCCTGCATAAGAGCAATAAATCCGCCATCGGAGGTACTTATCGAGAAAAGGTTACGTTCCTTTCCGTCACAGCTTCTCACTTCTAGTATAGTGGCTTAACCAGCTAACACCTCCCCCGCAGCTCCTCGCGACCAAATCCTATCTAGAAAGCAGGATCCTCCGCGCCCGCAAGAGCCTCCGGCCCCTAACGCTCCACTACCACCGCCCCCTCCCGATCAAAACCTACATACCGAAATTCGAAGAGGCATACTCCCTCGACAAGCGCTCATACGACCCCAATGCGGATCGCGTTGCTCTGTCAAAGTTAAAGGCGGAGCATAAGCGTGAGAAGAAGGGCGCCTTGAGAGAGTTGAGGAAGGACTCAAGGTTTATTGCTAGGGAGAAGTTGAAGGAGGATAAGAAGACGAGTAAGGAGTATCATGAGAAGATGAGGAAGCTCACGGCCATGATTCAGACGGAGGAAGGGGCGGCGGGGAATGAATATAAGAAGGCGAAGGGGAGGAAGTGAGTGTATAGTATGGCAGCGTGAGTTGAAGGAAAAATGGAAGGAGGAAGGGAAAGGTTGTATATAGTGTGTCGCGGATTCTTGGTTAATAGTATCCGGGTGGTTTAGTTGGTTGAATGCTGGTCCCTTCAAAATAAAGTCCTGGTCGATGCCCTCGAAATACTTGGCGCACAAAGCACTGCACACCACTGGCAAAACCTACAATATATTGTCTGATGATGACCATTTACACTGGATCCGGCCTTTCTGCTGTCGAATCACTGAGTGATGCATGGCGAAAGAAAAAAAGTATTCCTGACTCAAGGTCATTGGCAGTGAATCAAGTTACTGGACATTGACTCCAAGTTAGCATGCCACTGGGCAAGCTCCCGTTCTGCTATGTACAATATGATAATTGGGAGTGAAAGATGCCAAACGAGTTAACAGTAAGAATAGGGAGTATAAATTCAATTGTGAACCCAGGCCAACAATAACACCACCATGTGCCGTACTCGTACCACCCTTAGGGTGCTGGTGTTCGATATCCTATTCGAGTACTATTCGGGCGCCTGGCCTGGGCTATGGTAACCCACTACAGCACGGTACCCCCCCACCCCCCTAAGCAACTGCGAGTGTAATACAGTAATACTTGTACCACTAGAGTTATCTCAAACTAGGAAAACGAACCCCGAATAAATTGATCACCCTAACCCCCCCCTCATAGAGCCTCAATGTACAGTACCGACCTCCGCCCCAGCTCCCTCGCATCCCGCATCTCACTCTAGCGCTTGCAACACCCTTGTTTGCGGACAAAGTCTGCGCACGTGGGTAACTCCACAAGCCCTTCCGTTTAAACTTGGTTTTTGGCCTTGCTTGCGTTCGGGTTGTGTAGTTATATATACTACGTCTTCTGCTTGTTTTTCCGAGATTGGATAGGACTGGGCTGAATGCTGGGATGTCGTTTGCGCGGGCTGGGCTTTTCAGGCATAGGCATCGTTGCCGCGGAGTGGGAGCGGTGGTGGCAGTAGGAAAGAGGGCGCTGTTGACGGAGAGTTACTACAGAGGACCTACAGAGGTATGGTACAAGTACATATCCCATCTTAGGTGTCTAGGCATTCCAAAGCTCTAATGTATTTAACTTACTACACCAGCCGCCGTTACTAGACTTGACCACAGGCTCACACCTAGCGGGAATAACCCGCGAGTACGGGGACTCTCTAGCGCTCGTTCCCTCCTTCCTTGCTCATAGCCTCCAAAGCTAATGTGACCAGCGTAATTTCCTCACACCAAAACACCCGCCTCACGTATTCCTCCCTACATACACAGTCCACCTCCCTCGCCCACGGCCTCAAGAGCCTGGGCGTGCAGCGCGGCGACAGGGTCGCCGTCTCGCTAGGGAATAATATCGAGTTTGCGCTCGCGACGTATGCCATATTTAAGCTCGGCGCTGTTCTTGTACCTCTCAACCCCTCATTCAACACCGCACAAGTAGTCTCGGCCCTAAACCACCTTTCCGCCACGCACTTGCTCATAGGGCTAGAAACGAATCTGCCTCGGAAGCCACCGAGGAGTAATTATAAATTGCTGAGGGAGTTAGTGCCCGGTTGTCAGAGTGGGGGAGTGGTTGCTAGTGAGTTGGTGCCGTCGTTGGGGAGGGTTGTTGTTGTTGATAATACAAGGGACAAGGGGAAAGGGGGGGATGGCTTTAAGGCGTTTTCGAAGTTTCCGGATGTGCTGGAGGATGGAGAGGGAAAGGCACATCTGACTGAGGAGGGGATGGGGGTTGACGACGTTGTTAATATCCAGTTTACTAGTGGGTGAGTTGTGGTATATATGGGGGATGGAAAGGGGGATGTGGAGGCTGATGAGGGGAGAGTATGGTAGGACGACGAGTTTGCCGAAAGCCGCGTGCTTGACTCATCGTTCTATACTGAATAATGGGAAGAGCATTGGTGATAGAATGCTCCTGACGAATAAGGATGTTATATGCTGTCCTCCACCGTTATTCCAGTATTCCTTACTCCTCCATCCACCCCTTCCCACGCTCGCTGCTGACGAAGGGCCAGCTGCTTTGGTAGCGTTCTAGGCTACATGGCCTCTGCGACACACGCCTCCTGCATCGTATTCCCTGCCGAATGCTTCGACGCGAAGGCAACCCTTCATGCCGTGCAACAGGAAAAGTGCACAGCACTGTATGGTGTGCCGACAATGTTCACGGCGGAGCTAGAGCTGTTGGCCAGCGGGGAGGTGGAACAGAAAGGTTTCGAGCATATCAGAACTGGGATTGCGGCTGGGAGTAATGTTCCGAGGGAATTGATGAAGAAGTTGCATAAGAGGCTGAATCTGACAGCTGAGTATATGACTCCCCGAGTTTGGTTGGTGCGGGGGAAGGGAGGGCTAATGAAGGGTTTGGTTGGGGTGGGGGTGTAGCTATATGCTATGGGTGAGTGAGATACTGTGATCTGATGGGTAATTGTTTGATGGCTGATGGGGATCGTAGAATGACTGAAACTTCACCGGTTTCTGCAATGACTACCACCGATGACCCACTTGAGAAACGAGTCGATAGCGTTGGCAGGTTAATGCCACACACCGAGTGCGTCTCCTCCCCCACCCCCTCTTCCTGCTAACATTCACGGATAGAGCAAAAGTGGTCTCCGCCACCGACCGCACCGAAATCCTCCCTATAGGCCAACGCGGCGAACTGGCAGTATCGGGATACCTCTTACAAAAGGGCTACTGGAATGACCCAATCCGCACAGCAGAAGTCATGGCTAAAGACGGGAACGGGAAGTTTTGGATGCATGTAAGTGATTTTCCGCGCCACCTCTAATGTTTGTTCTCTTCTGTCATGGGTTAATGAATCGGACGGACCGGGTAGACCGGAGACGAAGCAGAAATGGACGAGAACGGGTATATCAAGATCACCGGAAGATTAAAAGATTTGATTATTCGGGGGGGGGAGAACATTGCAGGTCCCCGAGAATCTCAGACTAGTGTTGGTATTGGACTAATCCTCAAAGCACCCTCTCGAGATCGAAAATTGCCTGCTCAGCCATCCAAAGGTTCTCGAGTCTTCGGTTGTAGGGCTTAAAGATGAGAGATACGGAGAGGCTGTCGCAGCATTTGTGAGGAAGGAGGAGGGTTTGACAACGGATGAGATTAGGGAGTGGGTTCGCGGGAAGCTATCACATCATTTGGGTATGATATATGATAGCATGCTCTCAGGTAGCGCCTGAGATATGGTAGGGTAAAGGGCTAACGAAGCGATAGTCCCGAAGTACGTATTCTGGATAGACGCCTATCCCAAAACTGCCAGTGGGAAGATACAAAAGTTTGTGTTGCAAGAGATGGGGACAGAACTGGTTGCTAAGGGAAAGGGGCTGTGATATGATATGATGGGCGGTGGGTGATTTAATTGTAGATAATTGTGAATACCTGATTCGACTTGGTGTGTATATGATATGATACCTATAGAGAGGGGGTTACGTTTTTGATCTAGTATTGTACTGTACATCGTAGGTCACTCACTACCTTACCACGCGTGAAAACCAAGATCAAGAGATGCTTGGAAAAGCGCATAATCATCATTTCTTCGCCGTCTTCGCCTTCTTCGCCTTCTGTCCTTTCTGCCCAGCACTCTGGCTAGCCTTATCCACCGAACCCTTCTTCGCAGCGTAACTCCTCCGCACCCAATCTGACACGATACCCCTGACTGGGCCGAAATCGTGCTTCGGCTTCCTAAACACAATTCGTCAGTCTTCCTTCCCCCGCCCATCCCCGCACGGGCTCCAACATACCGCATATAATACAGCTTTGCCCTCCTCGCCATTTTCTCCTTTCGCTGCACAAGGTTAATACTATCAATGATGGGCGAGTAAATCTTCAACCACATCTCCACCCCCAACTTCGTTAATTGGTCCCTGAGCAGGATCGAGGTGTCAACACCGCGCCGCCGGATATTCAGCAGCACCCCGGAAAATGGTTCGCCATTTTTGCGCCGCACGTAGACGATGTCGCCCGGTCGGATCGCCTGCGGGTTTCTCCGGGAGAAGAGCTCCGTGCGGGAACCATCCGGGTCCAGGGCTTTGATCTGAGCCGCTGTGAGCGCGGATATTGGATCTGTGGTTGGCGGTCTAGGTGGTGGCGGGTAGATTTTTATGCGACGACGGGGGAGAGTAGGGTTCTGGCGGGTTGCGAAGTGGATTCGGGGCGCGGGGGTGTAGGTGGTGGTTCTGGAGAGGGTTGAGGCAGTGCGATGGTGGAGGAGGGTGGTTAGTGGCCAGAAGGAGGCCATTGCTACGGGGTGGTGGTGATTGTGATGTGCTCTGCGTATTGGGGATCTTTTTCAGAATTGAAGGTGTTGCATAATAATACTACGAGTATGTTGATGTTCCCAATGGTGGGAAGCGTGATGGGTAATACGCGTGATGGGGCTTGGGTTACAGTGCAGTACTCGCGCTCGCAGCGGGGAAGAGAGGGCTACAGCCAAAAATTTGCTCCATACATTTGGAATTCCCGGAGGTTTTTACAGGACCTTTTGAACACCATGGCTTTTGGAGTGCATTTTCGGATTGCGACCCATTCTCGCTGGGTTTTATCACAGAGAGCGGTGGCGACCCGGGGGTTTGTTTCTTGTCCTTCGCTCCTACGATTAATCGGTATTTTATCTTCCCTCCTCTTCCCCAATTGCTTTCTAACAGACAAGGGTGTTCTGACATCCCCCCCCTACCCGATAGAACCACTCCCACAATTCAAACCAACCGTGGATCCAGAATTGAGTGAAAAGCTCGCCAAATTTCGGCAAGAATTGGTCGTCCCCTTTCACCTCTTGCGCGAGCACAAAAAAATGATCCGGCTGAAACGTAACCACGAAAAACTCCTCAATGAGCCCTCCTTCGTCGAAATCGGCAATGAGAAGATCCGGCTTCTGCCAAACACCCGCAAACTGGGTTTTCTCCACGCACGAGAGATCACGAAAGTGATCAACGCAATGAACAACCCGAACGAGATTGACAACATCCTTCCCTTCCTTCTGGGTCTCCGGCAGGCGAGAGTCTCGCTAGGGGAAGGCCACAAGCAGAAGATTATCCGGGTTTGCAATCTTATGGGACGGGTGGACTTGATAATCTGGATCGTCCAGAATGTGAAGAAATACAACTTCTACCTCACCAAGCCCATCGCCCGGGAATGCATGCGTAGTACATTGGTCGAGCAGGCGGTGCCTGATAAGGAATTCTCCACGAGAGCGGTCCGGCATGCTAACCTTTTTATGAAAATTTTTGTTAACACTGCCATTAAAGTTGATCCGGCCGAACGGCTAAAGCGGGACCCGGTGGTCGTTGGAACGGCGCTGGGTGTTTTTGCAGACAACTACCTCCGCTATAACGACGAAGTTGACTTCCTGGGTGAGACGGAAAAATTGTGTCGCCTTCTGAAGGATCAGTGTTGGGACCGGGTCGAGTGGGAGCCCCCGGTGCCAACCAAGCACAGAAGCCCGATCATGAATCGGAAACAGCATGCCCGCGACCTCCTTGGGGCTGTCGTTGACTACACCCCAGTTCTTGAAGGGTTGCTTGGGGCCAAGAACATACTTGTCGGGATCAGTGATTTATACCCATGGCTGTCGGAGCAGAGCGAAAGGCTTGCGGAGAGAGTTGCAGGATGGAAGCAACATCTGGCTTCCGAGAAGAATATTCTATCGGATTCTCCTAGGTTGAGTATTGGTAATTATAGGGCTGCTGGGGAATTGATCCAACAGAGGGAGAAGAAGGCAGGAGAGTTCAAGGAGGCATCTGAAGAAGGTGCAGACGAGGAGGCTGTGGAGGGGGAGGGAGAGGCAGTCGATGATGGCTTAACTGAAGCGCAGAGGAGGGAATTGGAGGAGTTGGAGAGGAGCATGTAGATTCTCGATTTTTGTCGAGTAGAAGTTCTTCATGTACTATCTCATATCACACTTCTGGACTTAGAAATCTTGTATGAACCCTCAACTTCTTCCCCCCGATTCCCTAACACCTGCATGTAAATGGATCTTTTGTAACCTTAGTTCAGGGTGAGGGTTCGAAATTTGATGATACCTGAGGGTCAGGTGACCATTGCTTGGCCATGGTGGGGCAACGTGGGGCATTTCCTCGATTTGGGAACTGACCCATCCCCTCTCGTCTCAGCAACAAGACAACACAATACAACCAAGGTCATCTCTCTACAGGGATAGATAGACAATCACGACCATGGCGACCACCATTGCTATAGATCCATCAAATGCCTCCAAGGCTACCCTGAAGCTTGAGAATGTATGGCTTATTTCTTACTACCCCGCCTCTTCTTCCCTCAAACTAAACTACTGTATTGCTCTGGGCATCCTGACTAACAACCATCCACCAGACTGAAAAACGAGACACCCTCATTGCGATAGAAAAGAAATATCAGGCAAAATGGGCGGAGGACAAAATATTCGAAATCGATGCGCCTACTCTGGAAGAAGACCCCACAACCGACCCGAGCACCCTGCGTGACCACCACCCCAAATTCTTCAGTTGCATGGCATACCCATACATGAATGGAAGTCTGCACGCCGGACACTCCTTTTCCCTCAGCAAAGTAGAATTTGCGACCGGTTACCAACGTATGAAAGGAAAGCGAGCCTTGTTTCCCCTCGGCTTCCACTGCACGGGTATGCCAATTAAGTCCTCCTCCGACAAGATCAAGAGGGAGGTAGAGCTCTTCGGCAAGAATTTTGAAAACGTGCCTGAGGAGGAGGACGGGGAACCGCAACCACCACCAACAAATCTTGCGACGAACGAAGACGTTACCAAATTCGCTGCAAAGAAGGGTAAAGCCGCGGCGAAGGCGGTTAACTTGAGGTATCAGTTTCAGATTATGCTGGCACTAGGTATCCCCCTGGAGGAGATTCATCGGTTTGCCGAATCGGAGTACTGGCTCAAGTACTTCCCGCCGGTCTGCATGAGGGATTCCATGAGTCTGGGGTTGAGAATTGACTGGAGGAGGTCGTTTATCACTACGGATGCGAATCCGTATTACGACGCTTTTGTACGCTGGCAGATGAATAGGTTGAAGGATTCGGATAAAATCAAGTTTGGTAAGAGGTATACTATTTACTCGCCGAAGGATGGTCAACCCTGTATGGATCATGACAGAAGTGACGGCGAGGGGCTTGGGCCGCAGGAGTATACGGCTGTTAAGCTAAAGGTATTGGAGTGGACCGAGGAAGGGAAAATGGGGGTTGCTGGCAAGCTCCCAGAAGGTGCTGAAGTTTTCTTAGTTGCGGCTACACTGAGGCCCGAGACTATGTGGGTTTCCCCTCCTATACCTAGTTATAAATTTTGATTGACGAAATTAGGTATGGTCAAACCTGCTGCTTTGTCGGCCCTAAGCTTTCATATGGCGTTTACCAGATTTCATCTACCGAGTTCTATGTCTGCACCGAACGCGCCGCCCAGAATATGGCTTTCCAGGGCATTTTCCTCAAACGTGGTGTCTTCCCATCCGTTGGCACCCTACAGGGCCAGTCTCTTGTTGGTACTTTGGTTCACGCACCTCTCTCAGTACACAAAGGTGGTGTCCATGTTCTTCCTATGGAATCTGTCCTTGCTACCAAGGGCACTGGTGTAGTTACTTCTGTGCCATCTGATTCTCCAGACGACTATGCTACCGTCAAGGACCTTGCTAAGAAGGCCGACTACTACAAGATCAAGAGGGAATGGGCAGAGCTTGAGATTATTCCCATCATCAGGACTCCTTCATACGGAGAGTTGACGGCTGAGTTCCTAGTCAAGAAGATGAAGATCAATTCACCAAGGGATGCCAAGCAATTGGCCGAGGCCAAGGAGCTTGCATATAAGGAGGGTTTCTACCAGGGGACTATGCTCATTGGTGACTTTAAGGGCGAGAAGGTTGAGAATGCCAAGCCTAAAGTTCGTGAGATCTTGGTGAGCAGGGGAGAGGCATTCGTTTACAGTGAACCAGAGGGCCGCGTTATTTCGCGCTCTGGAGACACTTGCGTTGTGGCTCTTTGCGATCAGTGGTATATTGACTATGGAGAGACGAACTGGAGAGAGCAAGTTGAGACACTGGTTGGCGGTGAACTCAATACGTTCCACGAGGAGACAAAGAACGGCTTCATGGCAAATCTTGCTTGGCTAAACCAGTGGGCTTGTGCACGCTCTTATGGTCTCGGAAGTAAGCTTCCATGGGATTCTCAATTCCTTGTGGAGAGTCTATCGGATTCAACTATCTACATGGCGTACTACACTATTGCACACTACCTACATACTTCTATTGATGGTGCTAGTATTGGCCCTGCCGGTATTACGCCTGAGCAGATGACCGATAAGGTCTGGGACTATATCTTTACTCACGGTGATCTCTCCGAGGAGGGTGTCAAGGAGTCCGGCATCTCGGAGGAATGGCTTAAGAAACTGCGCAGAGAGTTTGAATACTTTTACCCTCTTGATGTCCGTGTTTCGGGCAAGGATCTTATCCAAAACCACTTGACCTTCTTCTTGTACATTCACACAGCGCTCTTCCCGCCACAGTACTGGCCCCAGGGAGTCCGTGCGAACGGTCACTTGATGCTAAATGGCGAAAAGATGAGTAAGCATACTGGTAACTTCCTGACTCTTGAGGAGACGGTGAAGAAGTATGGTGCCGATGCTGCTAGAATTGCGTTTGCCGACGCTGGCGATGGCGTTGAGGATGCGAATTTTGAGGAGAAGGTGTGTTTTGTCCTTCTAATCCGTAATACGGTGGCTAATTGCTCTAGGTCGCTAATGCGGCCATCCTTCGTTTGTACACCCTGAAGGAATGGTGCGAAGATATGGTGCGCGATGCCGAAGCCGGTAAACTCAGAGAAGGGCCAAAAGACACCTTCTGGGACCGTGTCTTTGAAAATGAAATGAACCGATTGATTGAGCAAACTCGTGAACACTACGAGAGGTAAATATCTCCCACCTCTCGTTCCTCCTCCACACTCTATCACTCGCTAACCTACCCATCCCAACATAGAACATCTTACAAACTCGCCCTAAAAACCGGCTTTTACGAACTCCAGGCCGCGCGTGACACCTACCGCGAAGCTACTGGCACCATCCGCCCACATAAGGACCTGATATGCCGCTTTGTCGAAGTCCAAGCCCTACTAATCACCCCCTTCGCTCCCCACTGGGCAGACTACATCTACCGCGAAGTCCTCCAGAAGCCAGCAAGCGTTCAAAACACTCTCTTCCCGACCCCCAGTGCGCCAATCTCTACCGAACTCACCGCCGCCCTCTCCTACGTGCATGCAACAACCTCAAACATAACCTCGACCGGAAACGCGCAAGCCAAGCGCAAAGCAAAGGGCAAGTCCCTCGCCTACGACGCCGACAAGCCCAAGCGTCTCACCATCTTCGTCGCGCTGGCATACCCGGCCTGGCAGGAAAAGTATATCGACCTCATCCGGGAGACTTTCGACACACTCACGCTACGCACCGACGAGAAAGTGTTGGACGCGCGCATCAAGGGAATGGGCGAGATGAAGAAAGCTATGCCCTTCGTGCAGGGTATCAAGCGCAGGCTTCAGGTGGAGCCGTGCGAGACGGTTTTTGATAGGAAGTTGGTGTTCGATGAAGTCGTCGTGCTCAAGGAGGCCATTGCCGGGATCGGCAAGGCGGCTGGCGCGGTGGAGGTTAGGGTTGTGGTTATTGAGGAGAATGGGAAGGGGAAGAGGGTTGATGGTGGTGGCGGCGAAGAGGAAGTGGACGTTCCGGCTATGGCTGAGAATGCAGAACCTGGAAATCCGAGGTTTGAGTTTGAGAATGTTTAGTTTAGGGGCGCATAGTATATCACTCGGTAGAATATTGAAATGTGGATTTCTAAAATGGGTTTCCTTTTTTTTTTTAAAAAAAAAGAAAGAAAACACCGGGTTTTCCCAATGCTATAATATAACTCTCAAGTGTGATACAGTGAGCTGATGTCTACAATTTATGATGAAATTTCCCTCTGGAAAAACAACCACCCGCTCAACCAACCAACCAAAATACCAACACCAATATAATAAAAACTCCTAACCAAAAAGTGCAGTATGATACAAATGCTATTCTCGCAAAAACCCAACCAACACAACTCCCCCCTCCTCCAAACCCCTTCCATCCCCTTTCGCCCCACCCTCGCATTTCACAGTACACACCTCAGCCCTTCGCAAAATGGAGAGGCAAAAAGTCCCACCTCCTAAAATCCAAACCACCAAGATCCCCAACACGTACGGAGATCGACGACGGGTACCTCAAATATGGCATAGTCCTCCTCCGTTTCCTCGCCCCGCGACACGGGGTCTTGGGTGGGCGATGTGGTCAAGTCTTCTGCCTACTAACTAGACAGGTTTTGTTATTGTGCCCAGCATCTTTGATCAATCATGAGGTCGGTATGGTATAGTGATACCTGGAAGAAGATGCTCAAGATTTGGGTTTTTTGGGCTGAGCGTGGGGGTGGTGAGGCGCTAGGGTTTGGGCATCTAAGGTTTAGTGACAAGGGGTGTGGAGCAGGTAAGCACCCATGGGTATCATAGTTTAGCGCAAGTGAGCGTAGAAGCGGGCGTCTCGGCTATCATACGAAGGAGAGTGTGGGACATGGGAATTAGAAGACTTGAGTGTGGGAATATTTTGTTTATCAAATTTGTTTATAAAAGCATAATATGTCACTCGCACTGACGAGAACCTCTAAGGGGTTTCCTTCAAAAACGGACTCCCATCACTCTTGTTATTGAATACGATGCCCCTAGGTGTGATACAGCGGCTCAATTTCCATAACTAGTGTGATACAATAACTTTCTTACAAAGGAATAGCCGTCCCACCAATCTATCAATCAGTCAACGATAGATCGAAACATTGGACCAAAGATACAAGAATCACTCTCACAAAAAAGTTCAAACTACTCTTCCCTTCTCCCTTCCTACCGCTCCCTTCACAGCACATCCTCGATAATTCCCATTCTAATTTTCACAAACTTGGAAAATGGCTGCCCATCCATATATAAATCCTGCAACCCCCCGTCATACACAAAAACTCTTCCACTCCCTCCGTCAACTAGCCATACCCTAGAATGCAAATAATCCCCATCCAGACAGGGCCTCAGCTCCGTCGTTATAATACATTTCAAGGGAAAACATCCCTCCATGGTATTCACTGCTCGACGTTTCAGTGCGTATGTCATTAACATCAACTCTCGCACTACTTCTCTGTTCTGATACCCCTTGTTCCTGTACGAGAGTTCCAACAGCTCAAGGCCAGGTGGGAGAGCGCGGCACACATATGAGATCTTGCTCGGGAGTAAACAAAGGCATAGGCTCAGTTGTCGGAGGTTCTGGTATGTGTTCAGCTGAGCGATGTCCTGTACCGCGAAGAATGTTGGAGTCTGAGTGGTTCCGAGCGCCCCCACTCCCCCCCATTGGGTGTTTCTTAAGACGTTAAGGCGGAGGTATTTGAGGGTTTTTATAGAATTTTTGATTGCTTCCAGCATTCCTCGAGCCTCCTAGACACTAAAGAAAGAGAGGTCAAGTTCTAGCCCCTCCAAAAACTTACAGGCGTCGATCAGTTGGATTTCGCGATTTGCACGACCCATTTCAACTTCCACGCGCTCCCCTGGGGGCTCGTTGGCGGTTGTGATGGCGGTGATGGGGTTGACTTGCTGGCTTCCCTTGATGTACTCGATAATTATGGAATGCAAACTCCCAAGCGATTCACCTTGCTTTCCCAGCTTGGATATTAGCCCGTTGGCGTTTGTGCAATCTTGAAGCACAAGACCCCTCAGATTCTCCACACTCAAGAGAGTTCCCCGGCATGTTGGTATACCTTCAAAGTCGAAGTTGGTATAATCTTGGACCCATGGTTTGTGACTGCCAATTTTTACGCTCCTTACTAAATGTCTGAGTCTGAGAAGCGGCCTCATCTTGGTGGCCAATCCTACCACTACCAGCTTGCGGAGGCGTAATCTACTGATTGTCTCGCCAAGATGCCGTAGGCTCTTTTTAGAGCAGATCGGAGCCAGCCTAAGATCTTGCAAACAGGAATAATCGTTCTTCCGCATCTTGTTTAGGAGATAACCCAGAGATAACATAGTGCAGAACGCGGGTAGCGGTGGGTGGCGATGGGAATACGAACTAAGTATTAAAGTTTGGGCGTTTTTAAGCGCCAGAACTCCGTCGACCAGCACCGGCGGCGGTCCCTCCGCGCACCACCATCTATTCTATCAGTCCTGCAGAGATTTTTCTGAAGGGAGGGCCGGACCATGGGACAAACCTGAAAAAAGAAACATTTGTGCACTCTGCCAGCTCCCGCCCAACCGTAGCCATAGCCCAATATCTAGTTTGGTTCCACCATGAGTCTCCTAAGATCTCCATAGTACGCAAGTGCGACTTCCATGGAGTGCGTCCCTTGAGATCTATGCTCAATGCGAAGGAGGTCGGGACCTCATTAGAGGTGGGGGTGCTTGGGTGTTGGTTCCACCACAAACGTATCGAGGAATAGATTACCAAGCAAGCAGCACGATAGAACCTTCTGCTAATTAGACAAATCGCTGTGAATCTGTGGCTGCTCACACAGTATTTGACTATGAGGTGGAGAATCTCGGGAGGGAGATTGTCCAAATTCGAGCGAGGGGCTAGGTGCGGGGTGGGGGAGTGTGTGCGGTAAATTGTTGGGGATTTGGTATCGGGATTATATTGCTCTTTAGATGACATCAAGATCTAATAATGGGAGAGTGGAGAGTGGGTGTTAGAGAGGGGGGGCAGGTTGTTCGTAGTTTGAGCTGTTGAAAGTTAGGAAGTGGGAGAAACGGTGGAGAGAAAGGGGGAAAGATCAAGTGGAGTGTTGGTCTTTGGGTAACCTCTTGGATGCTTACGCAGCCACCGATGAGAGCGTTGGCACTCCTGAGGGGCAAAATTCATTTGAGAGGTGGACCAAATGATTCGTGATCTCCTCATCCGTCCTTCAGATATGTCCTTGGGGACACCTTGGGAAGAAGGGGGAAACACGGCAACCTCGAATCGTATCTCTTAGGCATATCTGCCACCCCCCCTTCTCAGAAAACACTTTATCGACATCCCATCCCCATCCCGTTTTGGTATGATAGCCAGTCCCCCCCCCCCATACTCTGATATCATACCCACAATAAGTGTCTTACGGACCTGGAACAATAACCCTGGGTGCTGTAGACGAGCCAGTTGCTACATAACTGATGGAATACCTAGAGGGTATTCGGCGAGGCCACCTATCCGCGCGTCTCGAGTGATGGGTAATGATACATCCCCGGCTGCTGCGAAAGCAGAGCTTTGTCCGAGTTCTTCCCGTATTCCCAAAAGACCTACCCCTGGGAAATCAGCCCACCGGCAGTTGATAGAAACCCGGGCACAAATACATCTTCTGTAGGGGGTTGTGGTGATAAGGTATGATACTGAGTTCCCACCGCATCGGGATCCCACCGGCAAGCCGGTGATTTGTCCGGAAGTATTCAGTGCATTCAATATGCATGCGAACTGAGCCTGTTATGCCAGCAACAAAAGAGAGTTCGCACAGGTGAGGAACCGATCGCTGTGCAAAGGATGCGGTGGCCTTGCTCCCACAATTGACTCAAAATACTACTAGCCACCCTAAGGCTCGGGAGTGAGAGGAGTTTGTATCTTTGGACATGTGATTCGGCGACCTTGTGTAGGCTGTATCGGGCCAGGAGGGCTATCCCAGCCTATTGTGGCGTCCTGCTTTGCGGACCATATTCGTTGTCCATAGCCTCATCGACAAAATTCAAGCGACCTGCAAAACCAACTCCGTCAACCGCAGGTAAAGAAACCGAGGCGCCAAGGTGGTCCTCATTAATTCTAACAGGATATCATACTCTACAAGTACTAGTACAGCCTAGGGCAAGCCCCTTGAATATGCTCGAGCGCCGTAAATTTACATCCAGTGAGAAAGTGTCCCCAGCAACCATTCCCAGACAATCAAAACCACAAGTTTGCGAATATAAGTTAAACGAGAGCCAGAGACTCGAAAGGTGTTCTAAACACCCCATGAAAGTTTCTTAAAGACTATTTATCGCCAAATTCGGTCACTCAGCGCTGCTGACAAGAATAGGAGAACGTGATGTGATCACTGGCTCAATTGAACTCTTTGGGAAATTCGTGGAGGGGGATGGTTGGAACTTTCCGACAACTTCATTAACCACCAGAAACTCTGCTTGCAGGGCGATTCGGTGGACTATCGGGATGTTCGGGTGAGTTAGGCATCATTTGACGGCCCAATTTGTGATAGCTGAAAAACCACCAGGACGGTCGTTCGGTTGCGGCTAAAGAAATGGAGACATTCTAGGCACCCAAAATACGAGAGCGGATGGCCATAGGCACAGGTATGATAACAGTATTCAGTGAGAGCCCCCATTGACCGTGCTAGGGTTGTGGAAGGTGTTCCCTAACTAGGTTATTGAGAAACTCATGATATTGAAAAAAAAACGCTCCCAAGAGGATTTTTAGCACATTCCAGCAGCAAATGGCAGAGCTGTACTCGAGTATAGTACCGCATAGTACAACTGTTCCACCCAATGCCTTACCGCTAGGGTGCTGTACTGTACGTGTACTGTACTAGAGATCTCTAGTATGATACAGCGGCAATACGGTTGTAGGATACGGGGACAATACCGGTTACTGCGCAGCAATTCGAGGCTTTTAACCTCCGTCAACCCCTGTCCGGGACGGCACCCCTCCAGGGTTGATCCATTTTACCTGTATGGCGCAGGTACAGTATCCGCAAGTATAGTACCGGTACCGTATCGGTACAGCGCAGCGCCGTAGAAATCCGAGCCATGTGCAATGTACTCGTACGTATGATACCTGCAATGTACAGTACAGTACAGTACCGGTAGTCGAAAGTTCCCGACTCTGGGGAAGGAGCGAAAAACACAGAAAAAGGGGAGCTGTCCAGCCCCTCTGAGAGACAAAAAACAAAAAAGCACCAAACCCTGCCAGGGAGGCAACTCCAACGATAACTTATATAGCACTTTGTCCGATTATTCGTGAGCTGGCCCACTCCACCATTAGCCAACACGATCACAGCATGGAAAAGCCAATACCAGAACAAGCTCCCTCAGTTCAGCCCCCGGATCAGGGGGGAAGGAGGCGGGTCCGCAAAAACCACTTCTTAGGAATCTTCTTTGTACTCCTCGCCGGTTCAATATCATTCGGAGGTTTTCATCTGAGGGATAACATTCATGGGTGTGGAAGGTTGCATTGGCCAATTGAAAAACGGGTAGAAAATATTCTTCGGTTTACACCCTTGATTGGTGAGTAATATGCGACTTGAACTGATGCAATCATGAGGAGCGGGATGACTTACCTTCCTTGCCTGGTCGGAAAAAGATGGACACAATGATCTACCCTTTAAGATAAGGGTTCTTTTCGCGAATCAGATTTACAACGACAATTTTACCTTTGACACTTCATTGCCGTCCCAGGTTGACCTTCCGAGATTACGGAAGGGACGTGTTGGGGTATTAACCATTATTTACTTCCTCCTGCTCCTCCATCCTGAGTGGGCACCGATTGATTATTCTCTAGGGTACCTTCTGGAGCGTGTTCGTTCCATGTCCCGACACTAAGGGAATAGACGATAAAGTCTACTACCCAAGTGTGCAAATCACTTTACAACAAATTGACCTGGTCCACCGCCTAGCCGATGCATACCCCGACCTCGCTCTAACGTCTTCTCCCCTCGCCGCAAGACACGCACATTACCGTGGCAAGATCGCCTCGGTAATGGGTGCTGAAGGCCTGCACCAAATTGGCAACTCGGCCTCTAACCTTCGCCTCTATCACTCCCTCGGAGTCCGCTACGTGACGTTAACACACAACTGTAACAACAAATACGCCGACAGCGCACTTCCTGTGAACAATACTCTCTGGGGAGGCCTAAGCGATGACGGCAAAGATATCATCAAGGAGATGAATCGTCTGGGCATGATCGTCGACCTCTCGCATACCTCGCACGACACACAGATGGATACGCTCAAGGTTACCGGCGCGCCCGTGATCTACAGCCATTCCTCCGCATACGCTGTCTGCGACCACCCCCGCAACGTCAAGGACGAAGCGCTGGAGAAGGTCAAGGAGAACAACGGCGTAGTGATGGTGAACTTTTACCCAGCGTTCGTCAAGTGCGATGGCGGCGAGGCGAGATTGGAAGACGTAGCTGATCACGTGGAGTACATTGGCAAGAAGATTGGCTGGGAACATGTTGGTATTGGTTCGGATTTCGATGGAATTGAGAAGGTTCCGGTGGGACTGGAGGATGTCTCCAAGTATCCAAAGTTGTTTGAGGAGTTACTGAGGAGAGGGGTCACGGATCGCCAGGCTAGCATGATTGCGGGGGAGAATGTATTGAGGGTTTGGAAGGATGTGGAGGAGGTCTCTCGAAAGATGAACAGGGAGGGTGTTAAGCCCCTAGAAGACCAGGTGCATAAGACCTTGCCGCTCTAGAACGTGATTGATAATAGAGGCCTTCTCTTACAAATGATGTCTTATGATACAAGGTTTGATAAGATGCTGGTGGCTGTTTAGAACATTGAGTTTTCTCGTGTCCTTGGGTATCTGGGCATAAACGGTGACCTATAGACTCACAAGTCTGCCACAAGAAGCGACGGCGCTAGTAACAAGACGAGCTAAATCACAGAAGAAAAAAACCGCCCTCTTTCACGACACTCTTTTCTCTTGTTTTGACCTCATTACCAGCACACCACGCCGACCAGAACGGTATCTAATTCTAAACCGATCGTGCCAAGCAAGACCAACCTCCGTACTGCACTGTGCTCGTGTCTAAGCTCTCATAGATGTAATACCGGTACTACTATGGTATCCTACCTTCACCCCCCTTTCCTCTCTCTAAACACTCTTTGATTTCAGATGCCATTCTCCTATGTATCCATCTAACTTTTTCCTTCCTTCCTTCCTTCAAATATTCGACCTCCACAGCTGTGCGAACTCTTAGCAACCTCTTGTTCGATGTCATTCATTGCACACTCGACAAAATTGAGACTTGTGTTGACTGGAATCGCAACTAGGATTAGGATAGTATCTAGGTTCTGTGAGGCTTCCTAGATGTAGAAATTGCCGCATAGTATCATGGCGTTTTCGGGTATAGTACTAGTACCATAGCTGCTGGTGGAGGTTATACTAAAACCCCTTGGCTAAGATAGGCTGAAGTATGACATCATATTATGATACTATGATACTATCGGTATCGTGGGCAGGACACCTAGGTTTAAGGAGTAGACAAGTATCAGGAATCTTCGGACCTCTGACCTCTACGATACGGTAATAGACCACTGCCTAAGGCAAAAGAAAAGACTACGCTTAGGGGAAGCCCCTCTTTTTGTGTCTGCTCCATTGGTTCCCTAAGGTTTAGATCGAGCGGGGAATTCGCAACGTAAGGTCATTTCCGTGCCTCCAAGCACCGTCGACAATCCTGGAGATGGACCTTGTGCCACCCCGCAGAGCCTCAAGTCACTTTTCCTAACCGTAAACGGTCTACCGTAGTAGCCGAAACCCATACCAACCACCTCCCCCCACCCAATATGCTCCCTCTCCACCCCCCGCACTCAGCAATATACTCCCCCGGTCACAAGAAATGGCTCCAGACATTAACCGATCTACCCTTGCCAACGCGCACGCTCCGCCCCGTAACCACCCCCGAAGAAATCTTCCCTCCAACCCGCCACCTCTCCACTTCGCCCTCGCAGCAAAACACAGCAAACCAAACCCGGCGCCGGTCATGGTGGTCACGGTGCATTTCCATAGACGCCCCGGAGATGGGCCCAGCAGTGGATATCCTAGGCGACCTACTCGAGGAATCCCAATTGGTGTCTTCCTACACGGAATTAGCAGACACATCTATCGGGAAGCTCTTGGACTTTGGCAAAGCCACGGACGCTGATAACAAACGTACGCGCATGCTGGATACGACCGCGTTCGCGATGGGTGGTGTGGGCGATGAATTGGGCATCGCAGGAGTGGCCGGGAAGATAGTCGACGATGGGGACCCGAGCACGAAAGGGAAGATAGTGGTTCCCAAGGTACTTGTCGGGCCGGGCGAGGCTGGTTGTATAGCGCACAAATTCTGGTCGCCCATACGCCAGGTCATCTTCGCTGGAGGCACAGACGACGAGGTGGGGAGGCCGTACCTTGCTGTCAGGACTCTGGTCGGCATGACTGTTTTCAAGCCGTCAAGGCTGCAGACCCCGCTCCCGGGCATGACCAATCGCTTCTGGCCAAAGAAGTTGCTCACGATCAAGAATGAGGATATGTACGGGAGTGCCCACGCCCATGTTGAGTTCAATCCTTGGTTTGAGAGGCAGTTTGGTGTTTTGGATGAGAAGGGTGGGTGGAAGATTTGGGATATGGAGGGCCGGCAGAAGAAGCCTGGAAATGATTACACTGTGAAGGAGTATGCGAGCGGGAGGATGCCTGTAGATGATGGGAGCGAGGATGTGGTTGGGGGTTGGGGGAGGTTCTGCTGGGGTGGGGATTTGAATACGGTTTTTGTTGCTGGAAGGAAGAGGGCCGGAGTTTTTGATATGAGGGTGAGTCTAGAACCCAACCCTCTTATGGAGATATCATAATCTGACCGGGAGGGTATGATAGGCCCAGCCAAGTAGTATCTCGCAGGTTGAAATACCACTTGATTATAATGTCCGAATACTTGATCTTAAACGTGGACCCTCCGCAACTGTTGGCACAGATGCTTTCGTCTTGACCTCAAGATCTCTACACTGGCTGGACCTGCGCCAGCCTAAAATACCATTAATGACCATCCCACACTACCGCCATGAATCCGACGCTTTACTGTCATTAGAACTATTCAACCTTAGCGATTGTGTCCCCCCCCCTCCAATTTCTACTTTAGCCAACGCTAACAACCCCCTCATAGCAATAATAAATGCCCTAATCTACTCTCGATTAAATCATCTAATTACTTCCATCGCCCTCGACCCCACCGAGACCTCCATCCCAACGCAACTCGGCCCACAAACCCACCTCCCACCACCCTTCCTACACAAAAACGTTTCCACACCCCTAACCTACAGCATCTCCATCCTCCCCTGCAAGCCCCACAAAAACCCCTTCCTTCACTCCGAAAAACAACTTTTCAGCGCCTTCTCCATAGGAAAAGACCTAGCCATATCACAGCGCCTATACTCCTACTCGCCCTCCCCAGCAAACCCTAACGACAGCGAGGCGGAGGATGAGGATGAGGGAGCCCAGCGAGAGCGAGAATTAACCCTAGAACCAAGAACCAAAGAACGCTTAACTGGCATTTACGTCAAGAGTGGTATGTACGTGGTCGAAGAGGAAGAAACCAACGCTTCCTCCGAGCGCGAGGAAGACGCCGAAGCTAAAGGCTCGAGAAGGGACAGAGTCCTCCTGAAAGAGCTCCTCGATGCGAAATCCTCCCGCCGGAGAACCAACCTTGGAGACCTCTACGAGCACGCATACATCCAGGGTGGGGAAGCGATGCAAACGGCCGAGTCGGCGGACGAGTACATCACTGAACTAAAAGCGCTTCTGTTAAAGCGCCGCGAAAGGGGTGATCTGGGCGTCATCTCTCTACTAAACCTCCACCCACCAAAGACCCTGTTTCCAGACCTCCAAGCCACACAGACAGCAATCGAGGAAGTCCTGCGCCCAGAACACTTCTCGGAATTTGCAATCACCCCCCTATCTATCACCACCACCACCACTTCCCACCAAACACCCAATGCCCAGGAAACCTATGACAGTTTAAAAGATATCTACCTTACCCCGCTGCCAAACGGCACAAACCCGAAAATCCTCCTCCGCCGTGAAAAACTCATCCGCGCCCTTGCGCTGGAAACATACCTAGCAAGCATAGGCGTACACTTACTCCCCCAGGAACCGCCACTACCGCCAACAGCAGCACCGGGTGAAGGTCAATCCACCCCCATCAAAGAATCCATCAAGAAAATCAGAACATACGCGAACGTAGATTCACTCGTCACCTTACCTCCCGGAATGAAAAATGTACTTGACGCCTGGACCCCCGGACAAGATCCCTGGGAACCCGGCGCCGGATTGGGCATCGCGGGCGCGGGGAGCGAAGGTAGCAGCAGCAGGAGGCGGAGGAGGAGGAAGAGTTTTGTCGAAACGGCGGCCAAAGCTGCTGCGGTTAAAGTTGTAGGAGTGGGAGGTTCGCAGCCCCCTGCCATGCTGGTGGTTGGGAGCTCGCAGTCGGAGACGGTGGCCAGTACCCAGCCAGAGAGTAGTGCGAGAAGGAAGGTTTTCAGGAAAAAGCGGAGGACAGGGTTTTAGTTTGGATCATTACCACTTCGTCCACCGGTATCATATGCACTTGGAGTTTGAGTACGCAACTGCACGGTAGTATGATAGTAAATTTAGATAATAAGCATTCTTCACACAATATCACTCGAATCTCCAGAAGTATGATATCACTCAACGATGGAAAGTATGATATGATGATTATAACGCGTGTATGTACGCCAGCCACCCATGCCACTGCGCCGGGATTGAAGAAGTGAGCTATAGTATCAGCATGATATGCTAACACCGCATACTGACAAGTAGGACGGTCCCAGCTCCACTAACTTGCCATCCCACATCGCTACACCACCCCGACCTCGACCCGATAGGGATACTCTGCAGTGGGCGCTACCAACGGTTGAGGATAGATGCATGCCATGTTATATAATAAATTGTGGGGATGAGAATCCTATTTTCTGGAGGTCTGCTTTAGGACCGTATTATGATACGGTGGGGTGTTTTTATCAACTGTAGTGACTTTGCGTATGATATGCTCTGTAAATTTGACCTGTTCGTTGGGAATTGGGATTCATGTGTGATTTCTCGAGGACTTCTCATGGGAAAATACTACGCACTCCGAGGTGGGAAATCTTCTCCATGCGAGTCTCTGTTGATTGACGATTTATAGAGAGATGGATCTACTAACTAATGGTCTTCAGACATAAGCCATCCTATCTGTCGGTTGGTCTACAAGTACCCGCCGTGGTATTCACTGTGTCCACATCCCGCACTCTCTCAAACCCCCCTCTCGGCATAACTCTTCACCATCCCCTCCACCGAATCCTCATACTCCCTCAGCTCGACCCCACCATCGCCAGACAATACGGTATTCGCCTGCACGAAAACCTTCCTCGGTTGCTTCAACCTCATAACTACCTCCCTATAACCCTTAAACTGATCGGTAACCTCGGTCATGCGCTTGTACAACTCGCTACCGGCGCCGACGTCCGCAATGCTCTTGTAAACGTGCAGTTTTGTCAGGTACTCTCCAACAGCCTTCCGTCCGTGTGTCAAAATCTTGCTCCTATCAATGGAGATAGTGAGATCCGACATATCCGGTAGAGAATGGGAAAACGTGACAAAGCCATCCCCGGCGGAAATAAACACCTGTAGGATAAAATAGCGGGCTTGAGAATGTGCCTGTCCCCACTTCCGGCTCTTGGGGTCCCAAGTCTCGACGGAGAGCAGGCCTGCGCGTGCCATTTGTAGGTACTCGATGTACAGCAGGTCTTCAGCCTCCTGGTCAGTCACATGGCCAAAGATGGATAGTAGGCCCTTCTCCACGCCGAGGTACATTGCTACCAACTCCGCGCGACACTCTTCGTAGGAGGCCGCAAGGCCGCCGAATATGCTGCCCCACGTCTCATTCGGCCCGTACCAGGTCCCCACTGGCTCATTAGTGATCGGATTTATGGGCGGATTGGCGTGGTCGAAGTTGTACTCGCCTGGGGAGGTTTCCTGCAGGAGCTTGCCCGTGCCGTGGCCCAGTAGTTCGTGGACGCCGACTTGGACTTCAAAGGCGGGCCCTTGGAGTTCGGAGTAGAGGGCTACGTCCTCGGGTTTCAGGAAGGTGATTACTTCGTTGGGGGATCGGGCGGAGAGAATGTTGCCAAGTGAGACGTTTTTGAAGCCGATTTCCTGGCGGATGTCGTCGTAGTTTGGGATGTTGATGCCTGTGCGATAGTTAGTCTGGGTTGTCGGAAGTGGATGAGTAGGAGGCACAAACCGGCCGGGATCCCTGCGCCAGCAAATGTTAAAACCTCCAGACTTGTAAAGTCAGGCTTCAAAAAGTGGTCCTTTTCAAAATCCTTGCCCCAGGGTAACCTCGCGATAAAGTCTTCCGCACGCTTGACTAGCTCTCCAAAAGTTCTCGTCCGTCCCTCGTTCACCATTGCCGCAAAACCTTCCCATTCTGCACGAACGCCAGCTGGATCGCGATACGTCTCGACGAAGCCAATATTAGCTTCTACCCGGGGACCCTTATCCTGCACCCAGTACTTCTGAGACTCCTTGTGCGCTTGAATAGACCCGATGTCAAACGAACGGGCATATTCATCCCACATCTTCCTCTGAAGCTCATTCGCGGAGCGTTCCGCTGCAGCCCGACACTCTGCGGAGATCTTCTTCATCAATTCTGCATGGTCCCCGTACACCAATTTCAACTTCTTCCTACCCTCACCAAACACAAATTCAGTTTTCTGCCCCTCTGGCGCCGTCACTTCCGCTGAAGCGAACAGTAAATGAAACTCGGAGTCGGAAACCTTCTTCAACCTCGTATTCTCGACAAGTATCCCATTCGCAGCTGTGACCGCCTGCACCTCTTCGATCTCCGCCTTCGAAATACTTGGCGAGTCGGGGTAATAAGCCGAGACATGTCCAGCATCAATATACCCAATTAAATTCCTCTCCTCTGGCAAAAACGAATACACAACCTCCTCCACTCCATAAAATAACTTACTCGCCTCCTCATCAGCATACTCCACCAGTTTACGTAACTCTGCTTTCGGAATGCGGGGCACGAACTTCAGGTCCCCGAAGGACTTGTAGTTCCCCAGCGAGGCGAGGAATACCGTTGCGTACTCGAGCCAGTACTGCACGTCCTTCTCACTGACAGGGCCCTCCGAAGCGAGTTTTTTCCAGTCCCCAGCGCACGCGGCGTACAGAGCGAGTATGAGGTCGTAGATTGCCTCACTTTCTGGCGAGTGTTGACGGAGGGTCACACGTGTGCCTAGGAAAGAAGCGCGGGAGATGTGGTGTGCGTAGAGCTTTTCTTTGGGGGTTAAGGCTGCGAAGTGTGGGGCGACTTCTAGCCGGCAAATGGTTGGGGGCGAGTCTGCTAGGAGTGCAGCGGGGGGGGATGTCGGCTCCGGCGGCTTATTGGGGGAAGGGGCTATTGAGGCCTCGTCTGACATGGTGGCGGTCCGATTGAGTTTTCTGTTCCCGATGGATTTGGCGATGGGGTATGATAAGAGGAGGGGTGCCGAGAGGCGGGGTATCATACATGGAGTACGAGGGGGGGGAAGAAAGTAATGCGACACCCGTTCAACACAAATTCCCGTACGGAAACAATATCAACAACATATAGTACTACCATTTTCCACAACCACATTCAATAAATAAAATAAGTAAAGGAGATAAAATTAAAAAATGCTTAGTATTTCCTTAAAGTAAAATAAAAAGAAAATCATAAATCAATAATGAGTTTGGTGCCCTTTTCTTCTAATAACCTCTCTGACCCGCTTTGGCATACTTCTGCAAAGATCCATAAACCTTCCATCAGGAATAGCTTTCCATGCTTCCTCCACAGCTCTGATTAGCTCTTCCTTGCTTGCAACTCTTCCATACCTTTTACCCAAGTAAGTTTCCATATCTCCCCAAATATTTTCAATTAAGTTCAGGTCTGGTGACTGTGGTGGCCAGGGCAATATATCCACCCCATTCCTTTTTCTACGCTTTGTAGAATATCTGTGATTAAACCAGTAGTTAGATTATATTCTTAAGTAAGTATTTCTATATCAAAAAACAGAAAATACAATAATTATAAGCAGGTAGAACCTATCCTTTATGCCCTGGTGCACTATCTTCAACAACTCTAGTCCAACCAAATCTCTCACAACACTCATGCCAGAAAGGAATTAAAACTGGATCCAGAATATACTTAGTATACTCATAAGAATCCACTTTAACCTTTCCTGGTACTACCACTAGCTTTGACCTCAAATCCCTACAAAAGGCTTCCCATACCATAACTGTCTTCCTTCCTGACTCCCAGACCTCATCAATGCAATCCTGATCATATTCCTCAGAAGGTTCTCTTATCACCCATCCTCTCTGCCCAAATCCAGCTGTAGAGAATGAGGTTTCATCAGTTCATATGATTCTGGACTAGTCTCTTAGTTTCTAAGCTCTTTTTCTCATACACCAACCAAATCTAATTGGTATATTTTTAGGGCGCAATCCCTATCTAAAATATCTTTTAGTTATGTAAACACTTGAATCTTCATTAAAGTACTAACTTCTTACGTAGTTTTCTTTTATTTAAATTAAGACTCTTAGCTGCCTTCCTAATTGTCCTGGATGATGCCTTTAATCCCTTCTCTTCTTTAATATCCTCCTAAGAGAGTCTTCTATTTCTTTTATTTTCTTTAATAAAAGACTTTAGATCAAGTAGATCAGACTCCTGGAAGATTGGAGGTCTTCCTGTTTGCTGGTAGTTGGAAGGACTACCTGTTTCCTGATACCGTTGATAGATACGAGTACAGGTACTATGGTGAACTTTAAGGCCTATTTTTTCCTCCAATTTGGCAGCTATCTTTCTGAAAGACCACTCCGCTATTTCTCGGAGAGAAATAATACGGATCTGGTTATCACGCTTGGTTTCCCGCTTGAAGCACTGTCACTTCTTTATCCACAATCGCCGCAGCTCAAGATTTCGTGGACTAATCGCTAAATCATTTAATTTTATTATTATTTCAATGTTATGTACATATTCATTTAATTAAACTACTTATGCTCACTTCTGCGGGTTTCCTTTATCCTCATAGTGCTTTTCTGAAATGGTTTGGCAGGTGGTGGGGGACATATTGAGTATTGTAGTGATGGGGGTTAGGAGTAGAGGTGCGATCTTGTGGGAAGCAGTTGCTACTGTGTTGCACAACTTCTTTCCCCCCCCTCGTACAGTACTTGTATCTCCATGCCAAGAGTTGGCACCTCTTTTGGAATAGCCTTCTGCGGCCATAGACAGTTTAGTGTTGAAGCTGTTTTTACTTGTAGAACCTGACAAACTCAACTTTTCAACTATCATGATATTGAGAATGTTATAACCATGATAAACAATCAATGAGATATAATTCAAGTCTAAGCATTAAACCTGTTATCTCCTCCACAGGCTTGAGCTTGCAATAGATTGACATGAAAATTCATACAAAAACAATCAATAAGTTCTTGTGGCATATACTGCCACTCAGTATATAAAGCTTCTTGCACATGCTGCTTTGTTTTCTCACTGCTTTCCACAAAATCATACTGTGCTATAGAGTCTTTAAGATAGTTCCAACAAGGTTCTATCTCATTCAAATTTGGCGAATTAGGAGGTCAGAAAGGAATACATTGAATTCCTTGCTGTTGAGCTTCATGATCTATCTGTGCTACTGCAGTATAATTATCGGCGTTATCCTTGACCAGCCAGCATTGGTGTTCCATATCCTCCTGAATCCTTTGAATGAAAGAGTATACCCTCTCATGTAGTATATACTTACGATACATGAACCAATCCATTCCACTACCAGAACTTCATAAGCGGGTTTCTTTGCCGAACTCCCAATATGGAGGGCAGCGAAGACAATGATTTATTTGGTCCACAGTGAGCATTGTAGTAATCAATCTCACTATTCAAAGCTTGTAAGTAGTTGAACTCTTCTGTTCCTAGTCTCATGACATTTGTCTGTCGTTATTCTACTCGCTCTGCAGCTTGTAAATTTTCATGTCGAAGCTGTTCACCAATCTCTCTTCTCTCTTCTTCTGTTTCCTTCACCCATATCCATACAGGTTCTTTATATCCTAGGAATATACTCGCCGATACCATAATGCTGAATCCGTTCCCTTTTCTTTTATGGTAAATTGCTACCTCATATGGGTTTTGACCTTTCTTTCTAGTGATTCTCTTTCAACCTTGTAGTATACTAACTTCTAGCATCATATTGTCGCTAAACACGAGCGACTTAATTTGTTGTTGTAATGTCCAATCAACAAAATGGAATTGGTTCTCTCTACTATCTGTGTTCAAACGAGATTTCTGCCGTGACAAGTAGTGATATAGACTGTGATGCTGATGTATGATCTTATAGATAGTTGAATTAGCAGCCTGAACACCGGCCTTGAATGCAATTTGTGGAAAGGTTTGTAGGCGATATTCCTCATCTTGCATAGCAAGTTCCTTCAAATTGTGAGAAACTTAACTGCCAACTGGAAACTTTTATGGTACTGCAGGCTCTTCTCTTTTCTTGTCTCCAGTATTGATAACATGTAAGAGCTCTTTGATTTCAGCACATTGCACCTGTTCCTATCATTGCATGAGCTTTCTACCTTTCAATCCCAAATCTCAATTTCAAACTAACCTGTATTCACCTATACGTAATCAATATGGTTTCAGGAGAGAGATCTATTATTCCCACAATATAGTTGAAAGACATTCCTGCACATGCATGAGGAGCAATAATTCTAACTCTTACAGCACTATTACGGCTTCTTCCTGGTATCATACTATTCACCTACTACACATTAACTCTGAAGCTTGTATTCAATTTAGTCGATAACAGTACTTATGGTCAGAGTATAGGTGATTTTTTATAAACCATACTCATATGTGCAAGCATGGAGGGAGGTAGCATAGGTCCTGCTATTATCGGTGATATGTAACGATCCCTCCTCGGATGGCTAGTTCTTAGCGATGGGGAACGATACTTCTCTTCTCCTTCTTCGTCTTTCTTCATCTTACGATAGCACTAGGCCTCTGCCTACGTTACTGATAGTATAAGACCTCCATCTTCTATCGGGAACGCCTATCATAAGCTTTCTCTAACTCTTTTCCATGAAGAGCTTTCCTCTATGTAATGATAAATAGTGCAATAATGATAAAGATCGTAAAGGTGTTTTATATTCGTTAAAGTAATAAGTAGGAAAAGTACTTGGAATTCAATCTAATTGTGTTAAAACTCATACTGCCAACACTGGCATATGAGGAGTCTCTACCAGTACGGGGATAGTACTAACCGGTATACCACTAATCCTAAGCTAGCTAAGTCTACGGTCCCGCACCTACCATCCCTGAGTCATGCCCACACGAGAACTAATTACATGACCATTGAACAACCCAGTGCCCTCCCCGGTCCAAGTCTGTAGCCCCTCTGGTATGAAGTCAACCAGCACTAAATGTAGCCGAAGGTGAGTAAAAGACCGACCTGACTAGGTTCCTCATCCAACAAACATAAAAGGACTACTACGCAGTCTGAAAATCATCCCGCAAAACCTCCACCACAATGGAAAACTGACAAAAACTCAAACTAAACCTACAGGCGACACAACGGAAGGGAAGAGGAAACTAACATGTCAACTGCTCGTACAAGCATGCCAGGCCATCGACCCTAAGAACCCACTTTGCCAGTTGTCTCCGTAGAGTGTACCGGTGAGGAGGACCTGTACCTGCTGCCTGTCCCCCAAATAAAACAACACAAACATAAGAAATCGATAGAGGTGGTGACAGACCAAACAGGTCAGTGGGGCCTATCTCCTACTCATGATGCCTTGCTTCCTCCTGCCAAACCTGTAGCCAAACCAAAGAAATCAAACAAACCCTACAAAGTCCAACGCACAAGACCCAAACAAGTCCAACCAGGTGGTCTCAATCCACTATCAGCATGGGTGGCCATCAACCCGTTAGTCCATTGAGGAGCTTTGCAGCACTCAGCAGCTTCTCTCAAGAGCCCAAGCTGGGCTGGAAACACTTAATTAGACCTCGCCCAACCTGACGCAGGCCTGACCAGTGCTTGCAGATGCCTCTCTCCCCCTAACCAGCCCTCCCCAAGCCCTACATACCAGGCACCACAGAGCCCATCCAACCCCCTAGCACCTCAGACAGATCAACTATCCGATAGCCACAGGACAGCCTATACCTAGCCCTATTAGGCAGCCACTGATCTTGGCCACACCAATAGAGCACTAATCCCCAGCACCTAGCAGCCGAGAGAGGCCCGCCAGCCATAGCTGAGAGCCATAAAGGAGGCAGCACCGGCACCCGAAGGTACCAGCACCAGCCACACCATCCAACTCAGTCAAATCAAAGTTTAACTAAGCCAGGAAAGAGTAGGCAGAGCGAGCCAAAGACAGCCCCACAGGCCTGGCAATAAGCACAGACCGAACAATGGGTAAGAGGCACCCACAACTGGCGTGACATGAAGGAGGAGGGCGAGTGAACTGGAGCAGATAAACAGAGGGTAGGCCTCACTTGCAA